GCGAAAACACGTCGGCGAAGAACCTGTAGCGACGAGGCTGTCGAGGCAGCTTGGTAACGCATTTCGGGCAGCATAGCAGAGTTCGCATCGATCACCGATCCGAGATGCACGTAGTGGTGTACAATCGGCACACTGAGCTGTCCGAGTATATCCGAATGTCCCGAAACTCGTCCGCCATGCACATGCCATGCTGTGTGTCGCGCGCTCTTGGTGCCTGGCCCGCGCCATTTGACAAGCGCGGCAGTCTTAGACGGCCCGATGTTGAGGATGTGTCCACGGCGTGCGAAAGCCTCTGAAACCATAACCATCACCTGACTAAGCGCATCATACATCTGTTCAGCAAGCAATATGAGCATGACTGTGCCATCGTCGGCATATGAAATGTCGACGAGGGGGAGGTCAGCAGGAGGGCCGGGGTCGGTACTCAGTAACAAGCGCGGTGATGGATCTCTGCTCTGTGCGCGGTAGCATGTACGGCGTGCCCTCACCCAGCATGCGTGCGCGTACGTCCTGCATGCAGTCGGCCATCTGAATCTCGAAGAGGACATCCGCAAGTGGCTGGCCAGGAAAGAAGAACCGCTGGGGTAACGAGACCTGGCCAGATCCCTCGTAAATAAACCAGGGTACCTGGTAGCACTGCTCAACCTGGGCCACGGTGTGAGAATCGACGTCGGAGGCTGACAGGGCCGCTGCACGCTGTCGCAGTCGATCGGTCAGCTGTTGCATGGCGGCCGGGGGTAGGCCAGCGGCGCGCACCAGGGTAGCCACAGTAAGGTCGTCGAGGTCGGTTTCGCGGTGGGCACGCACCACGAGCTCCCGAATGGCCCTGTAAAAGGCCTGAACGACGTCCAGAAAGAGGGCCCCGAACGACATCTTCCGAAGTTTGGCCAGGGACTGCGAAACGCGGAGCACCAGGGACGCATGGGTGGTACCTCGTCCTGGAAGCCCGCCAAACTGGGTCTCGCCCGCCTCGGAGGCCAAGTGGGGCAAAAGTCGGGATCGAAGGCAGCGTCGGGAGGCCTTGCCCACCTGGGAAGAGACGAGGATGGACTTGGAGCTGCTGCACTGTGTCGGGTCGGCCTGGCCAGACTTGATGAGGTCCCGGTAGAAACCTCCTTTCCAGTGAATGGGTTCGATTAGCGTAAGGGCAAACTTCAGCTGTAGAGGGTAGTAATATTCCGCGATAGCGGTCGGATGGGCCCTCATAAGGCCGCCTGAAATACCGTCACATCCTGCAGCCGACCTGCGCGACTGTCGACACGACCACTGGAATTCAGCTAGGGTGGGGATCGAAGCAAGACTGACGGGATCAGTCGACATACGCGCATAGGGTGCGCGCCCGAAGTATCCTGCAAACGTCGGCACATCCTCGACTGAAATCGTAGCCGCAAGCTCGAGGCTGGCAAAGTGTTGTTGCCAACGCCTCGCGATTTGTTTCTCGGAGACAACGGCCTGGCCAGACAGATCCTGCAACGCGGGCAACACTCGCTCGAATCGTCGTCGCTTGGACACAGCCCCGACCCGTCGCAAGGCGGCGTAGGCTTCGGCAAGCTGTCGTCGATCCCAGGCATTGCGGACCCCCTGAGCAATGCTGGCACAATGCCACGCTGAATCCTGGCCAGTGGACTGTTGAATCACATAAGTAGCGGCCCGAGGAAACACCATACTGGAAGCCCAGAAAAATCCAAACCATCCCAGATAAAAGTTAAGGACGTTGGGCAGCTGAAACCGAAAACCACGTGGGACATCGGCTAGCTCATACACAGTGGGCAGCCGTCCTAGGTATCGCAGTCCGACGATGTGGTCCTGGGTAAACCGTGGGTAGGTCAGCTTGCCCTGTGGTGATCGTAGGGGCGTCGCAAAAACCTTGGTGGCATCAAGAACCTGGTCGGCGGCGTCCGCGATCCGTCGACATATCTGCACGAGGGGATGATGCGACGGTCCGTCACGGGCACTATGTCGGAAGCGGCGTGTCCGGTGACAAAACCACTCGCCCTCCATGGCCCCGTCCGAGGCCCACGCCACAAACACACACGCCAGGAAAAGCCTGGGCAGTTGGGCCCGTAGGGCCCGAAGCGCACGTCTCCCAAACGTGCGCTGATCCATAAGGTCGAGGGATCCCTGGGAAATCCAACTGCGACGGGGCTCGCGGCCACTGTCGGACCTTTTGGGTGGAAAGGCGATTGCGGCGGCCTCCAAGATATGCCTGTTAAGATATTCGGCATGATCATCTGGGTGCGTTGTGAAAGTCGGCGAGGGCACCATGCGGAGGGCATCTTCAAACGCAGCACGACACTCGGGGTCAGCATACTTAGCTTCGTCGTGTCGGGAACGCGTCCAAGTGATGGCTGGCTCGTACTGATCGGCACGGCACACGTACACATCAGCAGTTACCACAAAATGGTCGTCACATCGCATCGCTAGCTCGATCTCGACATCGACACCCTGACGAATGACGCTAGGTAGTTGGCCCATAGGGATCGTTATGTAGTCGATTCGTCGTCGCGGATTTTGGCCCTGAGCCCCAGGTGGCAACCAAGTCCCATGGATCCCAGAGTATGACGGCAGGAATGTAGACAGAGCACACTGGTCCGAGTCACGCAGGAACTTGCGAAAGCGCTGTCCATTGGCATTTTCAACCTCGGCCGCCACGTCACCGACATGATCTGACACCTGTGAGCCCAAAGTCGCATTCGCATCCAATAGACAGTACAGAGGAGCCGGCTGGGTTCGCCCACGGAGCACTGACGTCACATGGCCCCACCACGCTTCGACTTCAGCAGGGGGACGGCGAGAATGGGGTGCATGGCCGACGAGCACGTCCAAGCACAGGTGAGGCGCACGCATAGCTACCAACAAGTGCCGAGACGAAAAGCTGATCACACATACGTGACGGCGCGCAAGCGTATGCCCACATGCGTACTCGTGCTGTGTGTTGATCCATAAGGCCACCCCTGCCTTCCCCTTGGACTCGGCTGCTGCGGTGATGACAAGAAAATCCCCTGCTGGTGTCCAACCGTTCCGACACAAACGAGTCTCAAGCGTGCCAACCGCATGAAAGTTATGCGCAGAGAACTGATGAGCCAGTGCGAGCATGCGTCCGGGCAAATCAAGGCCGGCCGCATCTTGGTACCGACATCGTATCCGAGTCCCTCTCCCTCGTCGGGCAGCCTTCCTGCGGGGCCGCAGTGTGAGTACGTTCGCGACTGCAAAATTCACCTGAGGCTGCAAACCTGATGTCGGAGATACTCGTGGCACAGACGAGTTTTCCGAGCCGCGGCCAGCAGGTGGTGAGAAGGCAGATCTGAGATCTAGCTCAGGAGGGCTGATGGAGGGCATTTCGCATGCGCCAACATTCGGATACTCCCCAAGACCGAAGTTGGAATTGGCAGACATCCACATCCATGGTACAAGAGAGGCAGACGCAAGCAAAACTGACCACGGTTGAAAGTCAGGATCTACTGTCGGCGCAATTCCCATGGAAGCCAGTCGGGCTATGGTATCTGCAAGCTCATTCAGCGGATCGGCATTGTGGCCGTGGGCGTGATTCCAGCTCAGCTTCGTGAACTGACGTAATAGCTTGAGGGCCCCATCAAAGAGCCATGGGAAATTACCACACGACGCACATCTCGTTCCCCCGTCGGCCGCTGACACCACCAGCATGTTATCTGTGTATACCGCCACGGGTTGGGCCCGAAAACGGGGAGGAGCTTGCAATAACCATAGTACCAGCCACAGAGCAGCTTGAAATTCTGAAGCGCCAGACGGGCTCGCAACAGAGGTGGAGAGATCAGGATCGACACCACACAAGTACCCTTCACAGATGTGCCTGCCTGTCGACGTAATCGAAAATATGCACCATGCCCAAGACGGTGGTCCACCCAAGTGCTGTTGTTTGGTCCCTCCAGACCCATCAGTATGTACCTCCATCCTGACAACCTGCTCACTGTCGGGGGGGGAGAAGCTCCGTGGGTCTCAAAAAAATGGCAGGTACTACTATGAAGGTAAGGGTGAAAGAGGCAATGATCAGGCATTTGAGATGGCCCAAGAAAGACGGGAGTGAGAGAGCAAGATAGCCAGGGCTGGCAAAGTAGCCTGACCAGATCGGTGCAATCCGGTATTGGGCAGCGTGGCCGCTGCTGGGCCTCGGACTCCATCCGAGGCGGCGAGGCAGTCGGCGTGACTGGCGGCGCGCCAGTCGCGGGCGGGCCGTGAGACGGCGCTGCGGCGGCCCTCTCACTCCCCGAGGCCCGCCCGCCGTGACGCATCACCCCAGCGTCGACGCCGCTCCCTCACTCTCTCCTGTGGAGCCGGCGCGGCCCCCGCACAGCAAGAAGCCGTCAGGCCCATCACGGCGAGGGCTGTGGCTGCGGCTGTGCCGCTGGCGGCGGTTCGCCGCCCCCGCGGCGGCCTCCTCTCCGGCCTCAGCGGCGACGGCAGCACGGCCGTGCGGCGACGGCGGCAGGGCGCCGCGGCCACGGTGGCTGCTCGCGCCTGGACGCGCTGACGCCTGGCGAGCGAGAGCCGCGCGCAGTCCCTGTTGACCATCAGGGCGGCGGGCGCGGTCTGCAGCCTTCCTCGCAGCACGCTGAGTCGACCGCGCCTTGCGGGCCGCCTCGGCCGAGGCGGCAGCAGCAGCATCCTCCTCGGCGCTGACTGGCACCTCGGCGGCCGCGGCGGCGGCGGGTCCAACGGCGCCCGCGGCCGCTCTCACGGCGGCGGCAGGCGGCGGGGGCCCCTCCGGGGGGGGCGCGGGCCACAGGTGCGGCGGCCGGCACGGCGTAGGCCGCGGCAGGGGCCCCAGGCCCAGGCGCGGGGGCAGCCGCGGCGCCCGCTGGCCCCAGGCGCTGGGGGGGCCCTGCGAAGGGCCGCACGTCGGGCGCAGGCATAGCCGTCCCGCCAGGCGCCGCTTCGCCGCGGGCCGCCGCCATCTGGCCCTGCATCGACGTCAGCAGCTGCGTGAGGCCGACGAGCTGCTGGGTGAGCGCCGCCTGGCCAGCCTGCAGCTCCGCGATGGCCGCGATGGGCGGCGCGAGGTCGGGTGGCGTGCCTGGGGCCGCATCGCCCTCAGCGCCCGCCACGGGCGTCGGCGCGGCGGGCTCCTCCATCGGCCCGTCGCCCGTGGGGACCATGGCCTCGAGCTGCTCCAGCAACGTCTTGGCCCGTCCGAGGGCCTCCGTGCGCTGCGCCACCTTCGCCTCCTGCTCGGCGAGCTCCTCTCGCGCCCGCGCCGCAGCAGCCTCGGCCTTCTCGAGCTTGCCCTGAGCTCGCTGCACGAAGCTGCGCTGGCGGTCGCAGCGGACGCCGGGGGCGCGGGCGAGGATGATCATGCTGAGCTGCACAGCGTACTCCTCCTCCTGCGGCCGCCTCTGCTCGGGGCTCATGCCGAGCTCCATGGCCGCCTGCAGCCTCTTGCCCGTGGCGGCGGCCATCTGGCGCAGCGAGCGCCTGTGGGCCACGAGCCCGCGCTCGTCCGACGGCGGCTCGACCCAGGCTGGATGGGCCCTCGCGTCCAGCGGTAGGGCGGGCAAGATGCCGAGTGCGGGGCTGCGGCCATCGTCCTCGCCCTCCGAGGCGTCGGACTCGCCTTCAGCGAGACGCCTCCGTCGGCCCTCGCCGTCGGCAGAGCGGCGGCGGCGGCGCGAGGCCGACCGCTGGCGCGGCTCGCCGCCGTCGTCCTCCGCTCCCTCGTCCTCGAAGCGGACGCGCGAGGCCGATCGCGGCCGCGGCTCGGCCTCTGGCTGGCGAGCTTCGCCCTGGCCGCCGCGGCGCCTGCGCCTCGAGGCAGACCGAGGCTGGCGGCCGTCGCCGCGCGGGCCCGCGCGCGGGCGCGCCGCGCCTCCTCCCCCTCCGTGCACAGGCCCGTGCGCAGGGAGGGGGCAACAGGTGCGGCACAGGGCGTCGGTGGGGGCATTGATCCCGCCGCACGCCGAGCACCACCAGCCAGGCGGCGGGGGCGGGACGTGCCACGGCGGCGTCGCCTGGCTCGGGCCGCCCGTAGCCGCAGGGCGCCCTTTGCCGCCTGCGCCAGCGCGCCCGCCACCGGAGGGCCCAGCACCCTTGCCTCCGCCAGCGCCGCCCTTGCCGTACATGCTGGCGTCGGGCGAGGCGGCGCTGTGATGCGCGCGCAGGCGCGGGCTGGCGTCGGCCAGCGGCCTCGGGTCGCGGCCAGCGACCCCGAGGCGAGCCCGCGCGTCTGCGAGCCGCACCAGCACGCGAGCCTGGCCGCGCAGCCAGCGGGCCCGGCGGTGCCAGGCCGGGTTGGCGCGCGCGCGGCGCCGCCCGAGGGGCGTGGCGCCCGATGGGCGCGGCGCTGCCCGCAGCGCAGGGCGCGGCGAGGCGGCCCACGGCGCGCCAGGCAGGCGCGACGGCCTGCGGGAGCGGTGGACGGGCCGCGGCGCGGGCGGGGCACGGCCGGCCCGCAGCGCGCCAGGCGTGCGCGGCGGCCCGCGCGTATGGCAGCTGCCCGGCGGCGGTCGAGGCTCGCAGGTGTCTGACACCTGCTCCCAAAGCCTCGAGCCGGGGCGGCAGCTCAACGACGAGGGAGGAGGGAGGACGGCGACGACGCGAACGACGAAGAAGGAGGAAGGACGGCGACGCCGACGACGGCAACGACGAGGGAGGAGGGAAGACGACGCTGACAACGGCGACGACGACGACGACGACGGCGACGAAATAGGAGGGACGACGACGAGACGCCGACGACGGACGACGAAGACGACGAGGGAGGAGGAGGAAGGACGACCACGGCGACAACGACGACGGAAACGACCACGACGCCAAAGAGGACGACGACGACGAACACGAGGAAAGACAGAGGACGACGTAGGCGACGACGACGACGACGACGCGGGAGGAGGGAGGACGGCGACGACGACGACGACGACGAAGCAAAAGCGCGCGCGCACGCTTTTGTTGAAAATCCGTGTTGCGAAACCCTGTGTTTTTGTAGATTTTTTGGACGCACGATTTTGAAATCCTTCCGAAACCGATGTGTCTTGAAGGTTTTCGGCATACGCGCGCGACGACGCGCGCGTCTGCACTTCGTCTCATTTTTCGCAGAGGATTCTCGCGACGGCACACGCGCAAGGGCGTTCGACAGATTTGAACATGCGCGCGTGCGGAGCCTGTTTTTTTTGCATCTTGTGAAAAACATGAAAGAACCGATGGTTTTCAGAAGATTTCGCAAGAGCGCGCGGGGAAACTTTTTTAGCAAATCTGTGTTGCGAAACCTTGTGTTTTTGTAGTTTGTTTGGACGCGCGATTTTGAAATCCTTCCGAAACCGATGGGTTTACAAGGATTTCGGCGTACGCGCGCGACGACGCGCGCGTCTGCACTTCGTCCCGTTTTTTGCAGAGGATTCTCGCGACGGCACACGCGCAAGGGCGTTCGACAGATTTCGACATGCGCGCGCGCGAAGTTCGTTTAAAAGCATTTTGTGAAAATCTTGAAAAACCTATAATTTCCTGAAGATTTCGCAAGAGCTCGCGCGGAAGCTTGTTTAGCAAATCAGTGCTGCGAAACCCTGTGTTTTTGTAGTTTGTTTGGAAACTCGATTGCGAAATCTTTCCGGCACCTAAGGATTTTGAAGGATTTTGGCATGCGCGCGCGACGACGCGCGCGCGTGCACTTCGTCTCATTTTTTGTGCAAGGGATTCGCGAACAAGTGTTATGTTAGATCAAACAATGTCACCGCATAGTGTTTTTTACAAGGGACCCTCAGGGTGGGGGATACTGGTTGGCATTCGACATTGTGATTTCAGATTTAGGATGGACATGTGGTCATAATCATATATGATCTACATATCCGACAGGGGTGTCGATAACGCCGGGGGGGTAGACCCTATTTTGTTTTTAGAAAGGAGAATCAATGTGGTGCAATCTATGCGGCGAGGCGGCGACGAGGCGGCGACGGCAACAGCACTTCCGCCAGAGAGGCGGACAGGCCCAGACGACGGGCGGCGACACGGCGGCGACGGGGAAGCGACGGCGACAACACAGCCGCCAGACCGCCACACTGGCCCAGACGACGGGCGGCGACGAGGGGGCGACGGGGCGGCGATGGCGACAACATAGCCACTAGACCGCCACACCGGCCCAGACGACGGGCGGCGACGAGTCGGCGACGGGGCGGCGACGGCGACAACATAGCCGCCAGACCGCCTCACCGGCCCAGTTACTCAGTAACAACTGAGAGTCCTCTCAGTGCAAGCACTGTTTGGGGGATGTTCGCCATCGTGATCCCAAACGTGAGCAGTTAGGTTGTGTAAGCTATGTGGTGTGAGTCACATAGTGTGAGCAATGTGGTGGATGCTATGTCGTGCAAGCTACGTGGTGTAAGCTGAGCGATTTGCTCTATATGGTGTGAGTTATGTTCTGTGATGTATGGGGTCTGAGCCTCAAGGTGGCAACGAAGGACTGTAAACTACGTGATAAACACAATGTGGTGCACGCTATTATGTATGAGCGACGTTGCGTGACCTATGCTTTGCAAGCTATGTGGTGCAAGCTATGCTGTGTAAGCCACGTGGTGCGTAAGCGCACGGGGCGCCCACAGGTTGAAACCCGGACAACCTGTCCAGTTCTTGAACCAAGCAAGCACAGAAGCACCAAGCGCACGCACTGCCTGGGGTGTATGTGTATGAACATGTGTAGTTATACATATGTATATATATACATACACATATAAAGTGTACGATGCGTATGCTTCACTCTTTTAACCACACGTGCATCGATGCAGCAATACCTATAGACGGGACAGGGGCGGGAACACCGCGGGACTACCGCTGGCGACCACGGGACACTCACGCGACACCGATCCAACGATCCCTCGGTTCGAATCGAATAGACAGATCGGCCGATTGCACTGCCGATGGGTCTCACCACTTATCCACCGATCCCACAGTCAACCACCAATCGGTCTCGCGGTCTATCGGTCTGATCATGTAGCTGTCGATGTCGCGATCAATTTATCAATTGGTCTCATCATGCCGCCTATCTGTCTACAGGCGGGGCAATCGCAGGACTACCACGGGCCAATCTTTGGACAACAATTGCACCATGTCCGCTCTACATGTTTTTTCCTCGTGCGGACGCACCACTTGTGAACCGGGGCGCCCCAGACGCTGCCTCTCACGTCACCCAGGCGCGCTCGCCAGAAGGCACTTTCACGCGCCGCCCGAGCGGGCAGCGTCTGCGGTTCACTTCAAAAAGACCGCGGATGAGGTGGACATCGGGTCGGGTGTGATGGGGCCGCGAAGAACTGTAAATCGCTGCGCCCCTGCGTGCTGCGAGTACGCGGGCGAATGCATTGCACCATGTTCGCTCTGCATGCTCATTTTTTCTCTTCGTGCGGACGCACCGCTTGTGGACCAGGGTGCCCCGGACGCTGCCTCTCACGTCACCAGGGCGCGGTCACCAGAGGGCACTGGCGCGCGCTGCCCGAGGGGGCAGCGTCCGCGGTTCACCTCCGCTTGCGCCGGGGTCCTCCCTGCACTGCCCTCGCTGGCCCTCAGGCCAATTGCTGCAGCTTTTCTGTCAAGGTCCTCTGGCCATGCCATGCCGTGCCAGAGTGCCGCGGCATGCAAGTCGGCTGATAAATCCTGCACCATGGCCAAACCTTCTATGATACATAGGCGCGCAGCGGCTTCGGAGCGCCATCGCCCGCGCTTGGCTGTCTGGGAGATCTGGCCGAGCTGGCTGCAATGGTGGGTCGCGCCTCCTCTCCTCACGCTGCAAGGCTTTAGCCTTAGGTCGGGCATGTCCTCCTGAAGACGGATTGTGGACGAAAATTGAAAAATTATCCCAGTGCGACCCTACCTAGGAGTTGGAGCCCCTAGGAAAGCAGCATTAGTAGTAACAGTAAAGCTAAGCTAAAGCTAAGATAAAGCTAAGCTAAAGCTAAGCTAAAGCTAAACCAAAGCTAAGCTAAAGCTAAACTAAAGCTAAGCTAAAGCTAAGCTAGAGCTAGGCTAAAACTAAGCTAAAGCTAAGCTGAAGCTAAGCTGACGCTAAGCTAAAGCTAAGATAAAGCTAACCTAAAGCTAAGCTAAAGCTAAACTAACGCCAAGATACAGCTAAGCTAAAGCTAAACTAAAGCTAAGCTAAAGCTAAGCTACATCAAAACTAAATCTAAGCCAAAGCTAAGCTAAAGCTAAGCCACAGCTAAGCTACAGCTAAACTAAAACTAAGCTAAAGCTAAGCTAGAGCTAAGCTAAAGCTAAGCTAAAGCTAAGCTGAAGCTAAGCTGACGCTAACCTAAAGCTAAGCTAAAGCTAGGCTAAAGTTAAGCGAATTCTAAGCTAAGATCAAGCTACATCTAAGCTAAAGCTAAGCTAACGCTAAGCTAAAGCTAAGCTAAAACTAAGCTAACGCTAAGCTAAAGCTAAGCTTAGCTAAGCTGGGTGAACCCAGGGGACGCGACTGGGGGAACCGCGGGGCGGGGACTGGGGGAACCGCCCAGGGTGCTTTACACTGCCCGGCCCCTTTAAGCTAAGAGAGTAAGAACCCTCTAGGCAGAGCCTAGCTTGAAAAATTACTCCAAACAGGCTTAACAATAGTCAAACACAGTCGAAAAATCGTCTCCAGACTATTCTTTGACTAGTTTTGAACTTTCCTCCTGTAGAGGGACGTGCCCGGCTTAACTTTCTTCTCCTCGGATGGCCTGGACAAAGCCTCCGAAGGTGGCGGGACAGTCTCGGACCCGACGGGGCAGCGCAGGGACGCCCGCGGGTCGGTGCTGCTGCCGCGAGAGGGCCACGGAGAGGGGACAGTCAAGGGACAATCGTCTCGGGGACCCCCAGTCTCTTGCCCGATGTGGTGGGCCCCAGGTTAACCACGCAAGAGGCTTCTTCCTCGCTGAAGGTTGGCGGCGAGCGAGGGGGGGAATAAGAAGGGGCGATGCTTCTCAGAAGGCTCGGAAGTCTCCTGGCCTTCTGACAGGGTTTCTCAGCCTGTCCCGGAGACAGACAAAAACCTTTCAGAAGGCGCGGGGGGAGCTTCTGAGAAGTCCCGCCGCCTTTGGAAAAAATCGCGACCGGAGCCCTGGGCCCCATCTTTCTGCTGCGTTTTTCGAGCCGCATCGATCTGCGAGGGTCCCGGGGCCCAAAACTGGGCGAACATGCGCACTGTGAAAGAATTACAGCGCCAGGATCTCATGGCCGTTCTTTTGATGGAGGGCCCAGCGAGGGCCCCTCCGCAACCCTCGGGGTCGTCCAAGAGGGGGGGCGTCCAAGAGGGGGGGGCGCAACTCATGGCCGGCGGCATGTGCGCGGCCCAGGGGGGGGGGCCAGGGACGCAAAAAAATCAGAAGAGGTGCCATGTCATGAAATCTGAGGAAACATCATGGCCCACGCAATGATATCCACCCCCCTAGTCATCACCCCCCTCTTGGTCGCCCCCGAGCAAACCTTCCGAGTCGGGGCCGGGAGGAGGAGGAGGAGGAGGAGGAGGAGGAGAGGAAGGAGGAGGCGGAGGAGGAGGAGGAGGCGGAGAAGGGAGGAGGACGAGGAGGAGGGGGAGGAGGAGGAGGAGAGGGATGATGATGACGATGACGATGACGATGACGATGACGATGATGATGATGATGATGATGATGGATGATGATGATGATGATGATGATGATGATGATGATGATGATGATGATGATGATGATGAGATGATGATGAGAGGAGGAGGAGGAGGAGGAGGAGGAGGGAGGAGGAGGAGGGGGAGGAGGAGGAGGAGGAGGAGGGAGGAGGAGCAGGAGGAGGTGGAGGAGGAGGAGGAGGAGGAGGAGGAGGGGGAAGGGAGGAGGAGGAGGAGGCCCAGTGGCGGCCCGGGCCTGGCCTCGTCCAGCGGCCTCGGCGCCTCTGCGCTGGCCGCGGCTCGCCGCCCCGCGGCCTCCGCGCCCTCCGCGCCGCGCGGGCGCCGCGGGCGCCCCGCCGCGGCGACGACGAGCAGCGCGGCGGCGCCGGCCGCTGCGGGCGCGGCGAGCCTCCACGGGCACCGCAGCGAGGAGGACATGCCAGCAGCGCCCAGCAGGGACTGCCAGCGTTAGGTCGGGCGTGTCCTCCCACAGGCGGATTTTGGAAAATGAAAATGAGGGGGAGAACAAAAACTCGAAAATGAGCAAGAGGAGTCGGAACATCGCTCTTGGATATTCCCCCTGTAGACGGACAGGCCCGACGAGGAGCGAGGGAGAAGGACTCAGGGCACTCGCGGGTCCTCTCTGGGCGTGTCTGGGTACGTTCGGGCGTGTTTTTTATTTCCCCCCCCCAGCGCATCTTGTGCAGAGGGGGAAGAAGAGGCGAAGGCGGAAGGCACGACGAACACCCAGCCGATCCACTCCTCAGTGTGTCCACCGCGGGCTGGGCGTGCGGGGGGCTTCCCAGCGCCTCCGTGGGGGCCTCCGGGAAGGTCCGAGGGGGGATCGTGGATCGGGGACTGGGGCGGACGGCCACCACTGCGGGGGTCGCCGGCCCTCATCCTTGAAGACCGAGGCTGGCTGGTCGAGGGAGGAGGGGATTTTCCACGATGCCGAGCGTCGGGGCTGAACCCAAACGGTGCTTTTCGTGCTCGTCTTTTATTCTTTTTGTCGCTCTTCCTCGTGTTCTGCCTTCGCTTCGCCCAGAACGCAAAACAAGACAGAAAACCAGAACGGCCCACGAGCTGGCCAGAACACCATTTCGGTCCAGTCGGGGGGAACGAGCGGGGGGGATAGCAAAGGGTAGGGTCGAGAATCAGCTCCCGTAGCTGATTTCCCCAGCGCCTCCCGGCGCCAGGAGGCGCCCTGTCATCGAGGAATGGGCCTGGCGGCGGGGCCGAAACCAGCTGCATGCAGCAGATTTCGTAGCCCCCCCTTTCCCTATCCCCCCCTTTTCGTTCGGCCCGATCCTACAGGGGCCCTGGGGCGCACAAACCAACAGACACAACTAGCAGGACTCCCCATAGTTTCCCTCCCCCCCACATCCCGTATTCTCCCCATGCTTTCCTTGGGGGTCGACGATGCATTGTGTCTGTGTGTGTCTCTGTCCCTCCCGAGATCCAGCCCCGCCGAGCGTCTTGGCAGGCCGTGGGGGGCCGGAGAGGGGGGCCGGCCCTCCCCTCGAGGAGAGGCGGTGAGCCCCCTTTGACGCGTGGCGGCCCCTGGCGCTGCCCGCGGGCCCGCGTGCCCGGCTCTCTCCAGCGACCGGAACAAACCCAGGACGAGGAAAAACACACACGCTCTCACAGACGTGATTTTTGCACATAATGTTTCCACAACGTGTTTTTTGTTCCATATATATATATATATATGTGTGTATATATGTGTATATATTCGCCGGCCCAACGGGCCAGGGCGTGCTAAGATCTCGGGTACCTGGTTAACAGTATTTCTAGTTCGCGCGCGCGGGGCGGCCCCTGGGGGTCCCCGGACGAAAAGTACCCCGGCAAGGTCCCGGCAAGTCCCCGGCAAGGTCCCGGCAAGGTCGGGCCAGAGATGCCGGAGTTCTGTTTCGGAGTCCAAGAGGGCTCCAGATCGGTCCAAGAGGGCCCCGAGAAGCTTTCTAGACGGTCCAAGAGAGGCCCGAGACGGCCAAAGATCGCCCGAAGACGCCCCAGATGGCCCCAAGACAGCCCAAGAGGCCTCCAAGACGCTCCAAGGGCCTTCCAAGAGGCCTCCGAAGAGGGCCCCAAGTTGCCAAAATCGTTGATTTTCATTGTGTTTTTTCGATGTTTTTTTGCGTTCTGGCCTTTTCGCTTCCGGACGCTCCAAGAGGGCCCAAGAGGCCTTCAAGACTGCTCCAAGACGGCCCACGAGGCTCCCAAGACGGCCCCGGAGCGGCCCAAGAGCGCCCCCCAGACGGCCCAAGTGCTGCCCAAGGCGGACCAAGAGGCCCCAAGACGGGCCCAAGAGGGGCTCAAGAAGGGAACCGAGAACTGAAAAATCGAGCCCTCCGCCCCAGAAGGCGCCCAGGACCCCGAAAGAGGCCCCAAGAGACTCTCCAAGACACCCCCAAGACGCCCCAATAAGCTCCCGTGAGGCCCCAAGAGGACCAACAACGTCAGGCCCCAGGCCCCAAGAGGACCAACAAATACCGCCAAGAGCCCGCCGAAAGCCCCCCAAGAGACCGTCACGAGAGCTCAGGAGGCCCCCTGGAGGCCTCCCGAGTTCTCCAAGAGGCCTAAAGAGAGGCGCCAAGAGGCCCCAAACGGCCCCACCGAGGCTCCAAGAGGCCACGAACGCGCAAACAAACGCCTGCGATGGCACAATACGGGCCGGCGGAATGAGCGAAGCGATTAAATAAATGAATATATATATATATATATATATGTATATACATATATATATATACATATATATATATATATATATCCGCAGTGTGAATCTTTTTTCCACAACGTTTTTTGTCAAAGACTCATGTTCGTCAGCTTTGGCATCCCCAGAGATCAAACGCATTGACAAAAACCAAGACGGAGGTTTCTCGCAAAATTCGGCCCCGGAGGGCCCTCGCTGGGCCTCGGGACCGTCAAACAAAAACTGGGAAGAAAAAACGGTCCTGGGGAATGGGCCGAAGCTTCCTGGGACACTGTATTGAACAAATCGCGACATCGGATCTCAGGGTCTGGGGCACGCTTTCGGGTCCCAGGG